TCGAAGACTAGCCTGAGCATGGGCTCGTCCCAGACGTAGTCGTAGACCATCTCGCGGAGCTCTGGTGGTAGAGTGGTGTGGAACTTGTCGACGAAGTTGCGGCACAGCTTCTCAGCGACGACGCGGCTGAGGTGATGACATGCCCTGCCTACGTCCTCCCGCCTGGTCTCGAGCTCTGCAACCTTGTTCTTGAATTCATCAAGCCTGCGTGGGAGTTCAGCCATACATCCTCGTGCGATCGCTCCAAGACAGGACTTACTCGGTCTGGACAGAGATCTCTTCTGCGAGAAGCCTAAAAGGTGTGAGCAATCGTTTGTAGATGTCGCGAATGTTATCGCTGACCTTGATAGCTCTGCCTCGGTTGCCTCCAGCGTGGGCGCGTTGTTGCGGAAAGAGCTTGCGTCTGCCATAACAAGGACCCAAATATAGATGCTACGCTGAAAGTGTTTCCTGTGAGAGTATCGGTGTCGTAGGCGCGGGACAGCAGAAATCAGGGTCCGCGCTAACGACGCGCTAACGCGATACTGGTGGTGTCACGAGAAAGGGACCGAGCTTTGAGACACCGGGCAGTTACGATGCTCGTGTTACTGTTTGGAGAGAGGGTATGATTAGAATGTTGATTATGATGTGGACAGTCTTTCCAGCATTGGGTTCGCGCGCGTCTATCGTCTGCAATGTTGCATCAGCTCGTCCTCGTCGTCCACTGCGGATGTTGATATGACGGCCTCGCGGTGTATCTGTTTTTTCGAGCTTTTGTTTTCATCATTTGCATATCCCAATGCCTCGTCCGCGGTTCATCCATCCCTTGGTCCCTTCTCGCCAACTGCCGGCGCTGGTCTCGTCTTTGAGCCTGGTACCATCTTCAAAGCACGAAGCCTCAGAAGAGTACAGTTGCCCGAACGCAGGAGGAGCACATTCCGTTCCAGACTATTGCTGTACGCTAAAGTGTGGCGATGGCAATTGAGAAGGTCGGAAGAGGAAATAGTACTTTTGAAGTGGTATACAGCGCAGTTCGCAATCCATATGGATAGCCTTGATGTTCTGCCTCATCAGCTATCGTAGGGAGCGTCCGTCCTCATGATGTAGATCTCGCCAACAAGAACTACCAGACCAACGAGCATGGTGATCGCGATGATGGGCAGATTGACGCGCGCAAACTCCAGACCACCAACACGGATGTGCTTTCTGCCCAGAATATCGCGCCAGAGCATGCCCGCCAGCGATGCACTGAAGGCGAGACTGAAAGCACCGTAATTCACGCCAATCGCCATGCTGTATATCGTGCCCCAGAACGTTCGATCGGATATTGGAATGCCGTTTTGACGGTGGATTTCTTGCCACGATTGTACCACCCTAGAGATGAGAATTGTGGTGCCGATGTTAGTTCCAGCAAACTGGTCCAAGGTTAGCTACTTGAGTTTTATGGTGAAATGGACACTCACGTTACACAGTATGACTGAAACGAAGCCCATGCCTCCAATCGCACCAACCGTCCCTGTCTTCTCAACCCAGTGGTCCCACCCATGTGCAAAGACCGGAACCCAGCCCTTGGTGACCAAAGCCTGGACCAGCACGAACATGCAAAAGGCGAAAGGAACAAGCGCCAGCGGGAGGTGGTGGAATACGGTCATAGTTGTCGGAAACGTCTCCTGTGCCCATCTATACGTGTCTGCGACGAGTGACGCGAGTGTGGTTGGCATCGGCCTCTTGGCTGGCTCTAGCCTCTTCTCGTCCTGCGATACGAGTTCAGCGCCCATCATCTCCCGTGTTCGACCGCTCAATATGTGACTGGACGCCTCAGCCAATGGCCGCGACTTCTCCTCGGGGTTCTGGGCCGTTTTGTGATCCGCTTGAGTGGCGGTCGCGTCCAGCTCTTCTTGTATGACAGACTGCCTCCTAGTCTCAGCTCTTTCAGCAAGTGCGGCCTCTGCTCTGCGTCGGCCCTCGTGGGCGATCTTACGTGTCTCTGTCCGGTTGAGCCAACCCATTGTGAGATCGAAGATAAGCATGACGATTGCAGCGGGTAAAGTGACCCAGAACACCGGACGTTCATGAGAGCCTTGAGAGGCAGCATTGATCGCCAAGACAGTAATCAGTGTAGCTGCCATGATGGCTGCTCCAAACATTGCGCCTTTCCTATCCAAGAAGGGGTTCAGGACTTCCTCGAGGGATAATTTCTTCTCTTGTTCGTCGTCGTCACTGTTGGGATCGCTTTCGTTGTCTTCGAGTGCACCTTTGGCGAAGGGAATATTGGGATTGACCGGTTTCTTGTTCTATTGGAGGAAGCTTTGTCAGCACATACTATAACACCTCGCTTGTGGGAGTGCTTACCTTGAGCTCATCTGGAAGATCTTCCATCTTGATAGAGGCGGGGATGAGAGATTCGTCGTGGAAGATGATGTACAACAAGAAAGGATACAGTACAACTCCCGTGACAAGAACTGGTACGATAATGTTGGCCGTGTACTTGATGAATGTGATCCCAAACGCGCCGGCCAAGACTAGGTTGGTCGGATTGGATGATACCAGTATCGCCGATGCGATGTTGGCGACCGAGAACTGTGTGAAGATCCACGCCCTTGGATGCTTGATGTTGCTTGATACACGCGTCATGTACGACAGGAACGCAGTGCCAGACAAAATGACCGGATCGTTACCGATGAACGCAGTGAGAAGGAAGAAGAAGGCATACAGGTAGAAGAAAAGCCGGTGACCGACTTTCCCTCCTTTCTGCAACACCTTGAAAGCTAGCCATCTAATGAGACCGGAAGCATCAACAGAAATGGCGATGTAAGCAAGAGAGAGGAAGAACAGCATGATATCGTATGGAACAATACCCTGATCACCCAGGGTGCCACCCTTTACTTCTTTTGCGCCAATAGCAAGGATGGCTAGTAGAAAGAGATCCGCTACCAGAGGTGTCGTTATGAAGTTCATGGGAAAGTCGAACCGGACGAATGGTCCAGGCTTGCCATTCCGGATCCTCGTTGGGTGTTGTGGTGGTGCGATGATGCGCAACGCGCTCATGGTCTTGACGAATGGAGTCCATATTATCCGCGGCACATAGATGGGTATGTGGAACGGAAACAGAACATTGATGTCTACAAACATTTTGTCGTTAGTCCGCCATCTGCAATGTCAGTATACACACGCTACTTACTTGTCAGTACGAAAACAATGAGAGTCACTATTGAGCGCCACTCTTTGATCTTGCTAGTATCAAGGTCAGGCCTCTCTGTCTCTGTGGCGCGCTGGTTCAACATGTTGCGCCCCGTTGCAATGCTGGAAATCCACACTGCAAGATGATCTTGGGGCCAGAAAAACCCCAGGAGGTGTCCTGACGTTTAAAACGTGCAAGAACAAGCTTTTGGGTTCTGGGTAAGGGCCGATTGATGGGTACGTACGCCCGCTAGACGTTGCAGGCGATCTGTGAGCCGGCGTGCCTGGGCCTCCGTCGCAACCGTGGACTTCAGTACCGATGCCGAGAAATTGCTTGTACGATGACGCGCGACATGGGCATGGCGGCAGGCAAGTGAGGCTCTTGTATTGTCGCGACATCTGCAGCCCAGGAGGCTGAGCTCGCAGCCCAGGATGACAAGGTGATGGCATCTCGGCGCCGGTTGGGCCGCTAGCGAGTAGCGCCTCCCGTATCGAGAAAGGGTCCAGCGCTGACAGGTCATGCCTTCCACTCAGCCTCTCGCCCTATGCAACTGCGACAGGCGAAGACGATATAGTTCACCGGTAATCTGCAATGCCCCAAACCATTGGAGATCGACATGGCACGCCTTACCCCGGAGTTGCCCTTATGCGCAGCGCGCATACCTATGCCGCTCCTCTCCCTTCGTGACGGCTCATTCAGCAATGTCTTCATCTCATCTGTCTTTACCCATACCAGGGAAGCATGTCTGCAACTAGAGCGCTATCCGATTTTGCAACCGCTACCTCGACCGCTACATCGTCTAGCCCAACGCTACAAGTCGTCTGTGCATGGCCCATTTCGTCCAACTATGGAGCAGGCTCGCGTGTTAGTACCAACTCCATACCACGTGTAGAGCGGGTCTGGACCTATCAGAAAACTGATGCATGAATACAGATCCTGTACTATGTTCTTGTCGCCGCATGTGTAACATTTCGCAAAGCAGAATGGCTGCGGAACACCTGTCTGGCTGCCGTCTTAATTCTGCCGGCCATTTCGGCCCTGCAGGCCCTCGTGCTAGCAGCCGCGCATACGAATGGTCAGTACAACAGCCACCAAGAACTCCAAGAAGCCCATATCTGACCAAGAAACTTTGTAGGCGGCGTCGATATGGATATCTACGGAGTAAGTTCTTGGTGCCAATATGCCGTGCGACAAAACTGATCGATCGATTTCGCCTGTGCAGGCTTTCCAGTTCTGCGCAATTGGCATTTTAGCAGCGCCTCTCACTGTGAGGTTGTCGCGAACCTATTTCCAGTCTCCCGGTCGCAACATCATATTTCTGTGGACGATACTGATCTTGATGGGGCTGCTGGCCCTCTGCGTCGAATTCTACCGGGTTACTTCAACGGCCTGTAGTAGCGACGATAGTGGGAACCCTTTTCAAGGTGCCGCTAACTTTCCGTACGAGCATGCTACTTGCAATCTGACATGCTCTGAAAGCGTGGGTCCGAAATCTCCGATGCGAGGCGGATCTGCCGCCGACGTCTATGTCATTCCCGTGCCGCGCATCTTGACCTTCAACGCGGCCATGCTGCTCTCCGCTGGATTTTGCATACCTGCGATACTGTCTCTGATTTTCACGTGGGACAAAATCCTCGAGATCAACTGGAAGAGACGACGTCACGTGGAGCCGCTAGATACTCGGATCGAGGGGGCCAACATGACTGTTGGGGAGATGAAAGGCATCAACAACGTTGTGAGAAAGTTCTTGAGCGTCATAGAGATCCCCTTATTCGGCGGGGTGATTATCACAATCATCGGGGTTGGCGAAGCAAACTTCTTCAGCCCTCAGGTGCGACATATGACGGAACCTATGGCTTCGATTGGTGAGTAGAGTGACGCAGTGGTATGATCGGTGCTGACAAAGTCCCCAGGGCAATGGTCACCCATAGCCGGAACAATCTTGGCAGCACTTGGCTCTCTATACATCCTGTGGTCGACTGGTGGCGATGAGGCTCCCCAAGGGAAGCCTGCGCATGATGATGAGAACTCTGGCTCATCGCGCCCCAGTCGTAGTAGTGAGCGACGACCATCTCCGCGACCTCCGTCCTCCGTCGACTGCAACCCCAAACGTATCTCAGAGACGGGCCTAGGCATACGTTCAGAGTCGCCTATTGCTATGGAATTGATCCCGACCATCACGCATCCCGGCTCCGAGCATCCTCACCCCAGTCCTTCCTCTCATGATGGTCAGCAAGATAACACCCAAGCCGATCAGCCGACAGCTGGCAGAAACGTTGTGCGTAAGTGGCTGACGTCTGCTGGCAACTACTGGGCCGACGCAGCACATGAGAAGCTCGACACAGATCATGTCAGCAACGACGACGACACTCATAGGTTTCCTGAGGTTCCTGGCGAGATCCTACGAAATCCCGATCTAGAAAGGATCAGTCGCACGTACAGCAAGCTCCGCGAAGAGAGGGAAAACAGCGTATATGCGGCAAGCATTGCATCTACATCAGGTATCGAGGGCAGTACATCTCCGCCACCTATACAGGATTCGCCGCGTCCCGATATCAGCCCTGTCCGACGACCAGAACGAAGGGCTACGCTAGAAGTACCAAAGGAAGTGCATCGTAGGAGCGAGAGCCATTGAACGCTCATAGACCAAACCAGGCTTCCGATACGGTCAGATGCGAAGGAACACTATGGCCGACACCTACTGCCCAGATGCCTTCGACACTCGGACCGAAGTCGTCAGTACGGTAGTTGCGCTCTGGCGTATCCTTCTTCGAGCTCGTCGGCGTGGTGCTAACGCCAAACACGTTGGTCCACTGCTTCAGCGTCTCGTCGTAGTTCTTCGGACTCAGCGTTCCATCTACCGAGCCATGCCAGAATTCTTGAGAAGTCAGTACTTGGTTCACGAGCGTACAAGACTTGGAACTTACGCATGCGCGGTCGTGTTCCGTTATACCCGGGATACATCCCCCGAACTACGTCACCCCAGTGCTGCGCAGTCGAGACGGACTGCCCGCCAGAGCAGGTGTTATTCCATGCTGCCGCTGCTCCGGATGCAGAAACGAAACAACCAGCTGGTACACCCGAGTACAAAGACACTGCGCTGATGAGATCGGGATAGGTGGCGGCGAGAACATTACTCATCATGCCACCTGAGGAGCCACCCGTAACGAACACTTTCTTGGGGTCGATTTTGTACTTGTCGATTGCATAGATGATCATGTTCGCGATCGCATTCGAATCGCCACCGCCATTATGCGATAACGAAGCTCTGCTGGATACGTCCCAGCATTCAGTCGTGGAGCTCGGCCAGACCGTCACGTAGCCTTTGCTATCCGACCCTTTCTTCCATGGAATCAGTGAGTTTTGGAAATACTTCTGCGCTGATGACTGGCATGAGTGGATCGCTACGACTAGCGCATCGCTCTTGACCTGATCAGGCACATACACCCACCTTGGGGGGCGTGTCAGTCAATTGCAACCTTGGAAAGGAGTGGCGCGGATCACTCACATGCCTGGCTTTGCTCGCGCGCTACCGCCATAGTTGGAGATTTGTGTCAATTGCGCAGCGAGAACACCGGAAGCAAGTGCGAGTGTTGCAACAAAGGTTCGGGTAAGCATCTTGGAGGAGCTGGAGGTAGTTTGGCAGTTCCATGTCGAGCCTGGTCACTATATACACGCATAAGCTCCGCATTGACAGTGTGGGGTCGACTGTCATTCGTGGAAGTAGATTTATTCGTCTCATCATGTAGTGTTTGAATCTTGTGGCAGCACGTGGAGTACAACGATCACCAGAGCCATTATTAGGTAGCTCCGGATAAAGAGCAAGGTGCTCGCAATCAAGCTTCATACCAAGCATTTTCGCACATTATCCGCATATGTCTGTATCCCTGTATCATAGGTCTATCAATTTGCGACTGCCGATGCGAAACATGGGGACTTGATGTTACTCGTCGGCCCATAGTTAGAGTCTAATTCAGTCGCTCTAGGTGCCGGACGAAGCTTCGCGTCAGGTGCGGCTTTTAGACAAGCCTCGCAGGCCTGAAAGTACCGTAATATGGAGACAACACAATGGGCGTGTGCTGCCCAATTAGACTCACGGCGTTAAGGGGGCTGCGCTGGATGTCTTGTACGTCATGTGAGGCGGACATTGGTGTTATGTGGGGAGCTTCGCGGCGGTCGTCCTGACTTCGTTGCAGAAATTTGAGCAGACGACAATACAGGACATATTTTTTAAGAACGTATCAGCTTGTTTGTCTAGTTCTCTGTGACCGCATTCCTTCCAGGGTAAAGTGACCGACTATGTGGCTTTTCCTTGCAACCACCACCGTACTCTTAGCCCATCGAGCCTCTGCTCATGGCGGAGCTCTGAACTATACTGTCGGAGACACATGGTACCCCGGGTAGGATCGAAATGCCTAGTCTTCCTAGAATGTGAACGAGCTGATCCAGTTAACACGCTTCACAGCTACGATCCTTATGGCGACCAAGCCATGCAAGACGCTGCCGTATGGATGCCACAGCGAAAATGGATTTCCAACAACCCCATTTTCGAAACCACCAACACGTCTCTTTCCTGCAACACCCCCGGTACACCCGCTCGCGCATACATACCCATTCGCGCGGGCGAAAACATAACCGCCGTGTACTCGTACTGGGTGCATACTGTTGGTCCTATGATAGCTTGGATGGCGTACTGCGACAACGCCGAGAATGACTGCACGACCTTTGCTAGCGAAACGGCAGATTGGTTCAAGATCGGCGAGAAGGGGTTGTTGGAAGGAAGCATCGAGACTGGAGAGTGGTTCCAGAAGGCGTTCAGTATGTGGGATGGAAGTCCGAGTCTATGGAGTGAGACGGTGCCTATGGGGCTGAAAGCGGGAAGATATTTGGTGAGGCACGAGATCATCAGCTTGCATTCCGCGAATAGTACGTCAAAGGTTCCTTCCTCTAGTTGTAGCTCCCCGAACATGAGGGAAGGTGCAACGCGCTAATGATCTGGGGTGCGCAGGACCACAGTTTTACCCCGAATGCGCTCATTTGGAAGTCACGAACGATGAGCAGGGAGGCTCGATTCCTAGCGAGGAGTATATGGTCAAGATTCCAGGCGTGTGGAGTATGGACCGTACGTATGCCAATGGCCGAGTCAAGAGCATGCGACTGATCGTTGATAGAGCCTGAGATCAATATCGACATTTACGATCCCGAGGTCTCGGCAAAGACGGTACGTTCGATAGAGACATGGTTTGCTTCAAGAGCCTTGTGCTGACAACATTGCCTAGGTATACAACATCCCGGGCCCACCTGTATGGACGGGGAAGCCGTAGGTCGACGTGTAGAAGGCGTGGACTGAGCACGCCCTGGAATGACGGTCCAGTCAATCGAGCATTTGCACATCACAATTCAGTATCCTCTGTGGCGCAATTGGCTAGCGCGTCTGACTGTTACAGCTCGCAGTAGCAGTCATCAGGAGGTTGGAAGTTCGAGCCTTCCCGGAGGAGTGAATTTTTTTGATGCTTGTGCGGACAAGACAATAGACTGGGGTGGGCTGATGGAGGAGTACATTTTTGAGATGCTAGGGTGTGGGTAGCGGCATGGAGTGACAGCTACCGAGGATTCCGAGGTCCACATGGCTGTGGGATTACATAACCGGCAAACGTCATCGTCTAGCGCTATGACCACGCTTCTTCCTGTGCGTCTTTACAACAACACCACGCGTCGACATATGCACAAGATGTCGAAAGCGGCAGTTCATACCGCCATGACGCGATAGAACGCGTGATTCAATGTAATCGCGATATTGTAAGTTTCGAAGTTCTCATTCGAAGTCTTCTGCCGTCTGACTGCCAAAGCTCTCCAGGGCTAGCACTATCCCAACGCACACTCTACACCATCCACCAGACCTATGCTCGCCCACACACCATGCTATAATGTCACCTTCTTTGGACAGGCCTTGGAAAAATTGAGTCAATTTGGCCCTCCGGTCTTTCCGCGGGCAAGCAGCCTCAACTTCGCGAGCGTCTTGCCTCCTCTCACGCCGGTCTCACCTCTGAACCCCTTGTCTCACTTGACACATCGTCTTCCTCGGCCATGTACTCGTCAGCCTTTGCATCATTACGGGCTCTGCGTGCTCTCTGTCTCTTGGCTTTCTTGGTATCTTTTCGGCGGGGTCGGGCGGGAGTCGTGTCAGGTGGACATGGTGGAGGCTGTCCTACTTCCTGGCCAGTATCCTCTTGGTCGACATCAAGCTCCTTCTCGAGGCTTTTCCGGAACGCGGCTTGGTCTTGCAGCTTCCGGTAGCGGTTCTTTTGAGGTTCGGTCATTTCTTTTTCCTTCCTCATTAACTCCTGTTGCTCCGTCTTGTCTGCCACGGCTGCATCGTGCTCAGCCTTGAATGACTTGAAAATAGCCTTCCACTCGATCTCGACATTCGGGTAGCCGTTGCGCGCGTTCTTGACGTCGAGGTTGTAGCCCGCTAGGTATGGATGCACAGCGCATCCTTTAGGGGAGATGCACTGGAAGCGCTGCCCACAAATCACGACCTCGTCGTATGTATCTGACTTCTTGTCCATATCGACGACCGGAGCGAGACACCAGCAAAAGTGCAGCGCGCTGACACATCTCATTGATGGGCCGCCGCCACACTCCTTGTCTTCGCAGTGATGCTGTGGTTGGAGAGGTCAGTGTATTCTCTCAACATAAGTCTAGTCCCTCCCGGCTACCTACAGCGCTGCTCATTCTCTCTTTGGTACGAATGTTTCTCATCATGGCGGCGGAGCTGTCGTTCTTGATATAGTGGCCGAATATCTCGTCCAGGTCCAAGGAACTCTGTCGCGCGTAGTTGGGCATCTCTGTGGCGATTGCATTCGATATTTGCTAGATAGTAGAGGTTTATGGGTAGCGCAATCGAGCAGATAGAGTCGGGAAAGTTGTGTACGTCAGTGAGGTTGTACCTTTCGTCGGCAGAACGAGGGATCACTATTGGTTGTTGCAAGAGTTGTACGCCTTTACTACTCGGCTAACAGGCACTATTTACATTGTTATTGTTGTGGTTGCTGCCTATCAATTTGCTCGGCTCAGGCTGCCTCGCTCTCTCCGAGTATCGCCGACATTGTGGCTATCTATCCCTACGAGCTTCACTGGAGCCGTATCTGCTGAGAGCCCCCTGAGTACATCCCCACTCAAGATCATGATGATTGGCCGCTGCGAGCCGTCACTGGAGCTCTGATCGGCCCATATCATGATAACCTGCTAGTTGTTCTTCTAGCAGTGATTCGCACACGACGATGCAGATATAATGACTGAATCTTTAATCAAATAATACTGCGCAGCTCCTCCCCGATTCCACACCGAAAGAATACACCGTACCAGACACGCCCGTCTGAGTGCACTTATACATATACTAGATTTCTAGGCTCTCGGCTAGTCTCGCATGCGGAAGCATAGTCGAGGTCTCAATTGAATACATGTGATGACAGTCTTTATCAAGCTCTTGCTTAGAGTTTTGTAAGTCACGATCAAATGTTACATCCTGCAGTGCACATCCTACAAGTGACGAGGAGTTGAAATTCTTTGTAGTGAGTAAGACTATATACTCTCTGCAACCCTATTTAAGCCTAGCTGTTAGTCTTACTAAATGAAATGAGCTTCATGACGCGTAACACTACCTGTATCGATAGACTTTGTGATACAAAAGATCATTTGGTCCAAAACAGAGCGGAACGCGGCTATCACATCAGCTATCGATTGCACAATGGAATAGAGCAAAACCACACACACGCTGGAAGCCTAGCTAGTTTCGCTACGTTCACACATATTACGAAGACACGATCAACATACGGTAGCCAACACCCTAATTTTCCTTAAGCGAGTAGCCAAATGAGACGCATGTGTCTCCGTAGCGCAACGTAGCGTTCCTTGGTCTTCTCGTCCATCAATCCGCGCGGTTCTCCCCTCTTTCACGACACATACTTCCTTCTAAAGAGGGCGCTACTTGGGCCTCGCAGCATCTTCTTCAGCTCCTGGTTTTCGTGTGCATTCCATTGCTAACTCCAACAATCCTTGCCATCCTTTATGAGTTTCCAGATCTTTGATAAAGGTTGACAATATCACCATAGTCTCGACGTCCGTCTCGAGTTTGTACGGGGTTCGGTACTTGTCAGCACTGAATCTGTCGTTTGCGGTCATGCGTACCTTGCTACTTGTAGCTTCCACCATCTCCGTTGACCGTTTCTGGATGTTGTGAATAAACCGAGAAACATTCTTGGGAGCATAAGAGACGAGCAGTGGCACATCAATCGATTGCGTTGGCACAGGATCGCGGAACCGCCCATGACAGACGCGAAATGTCCACGAGAAGCCAACGACTGCGTGGGTAGCGCAGGTAGTGGCGCATCGTGAGTCGCAAGCTTCAACTAGGGCGTGTGTCCGAAGCGAGTCCGATGTCATTGATAGTTCAAGACAAGAGGAGAGTTCGACTGACACGCCATTTTGCCCAGAAATGGTGCACCATCGCGGCGTGTACACTGCAATTTCGACATTGTCGATGTTGGTTGCTTCATGATTACCGATGAATCGGGACGTTCGTATACCCATAGCCATCTCCATGGAGGAACCTTCAGTGCGCGCGTACCGACTGTCGTCGGTACCGCTTACTTGCCGAGGCGGGCGTCCCATCAGATCCAGACCAACGTAACCGCTTATGTAGTCGTCTCTTTGTCCTTTGATAACATAACGATTGTACTGTTCGGCAAATTTGAAATGAGACTTCAGGATGTCTAACGCCAAGATTTTCTGGAGAAGCTGCCATACTGTGAGGCTATAGTCGACGATACTGATGAGCCTCAAGTCTTCTTCACTCCCCTCAAGTAGGCCAAGTAAAGCGAAAACACCGTCTAGAGGAACTGATCGAGGTAACATTCCAAAGTTCCCAAACGATGCCTCAAACGACCTCTCAATTTGAGAGAAGCTCTTGTGTTGACGATGCTTCTCTTTTCGAGGAGACCTGTCAATTTGATAGAACATTAGAGCGCGTATTATATCTTGACTTTGCTGTATCTCACTTGGTCCTTGGACGTCGAAGACCTGGCCATTTCGCCAGATCTTCTTCAACTTGCTGTAGGAAAGTTTGTGTCTTCCCACCAACAACTGGACTTCCTTTGCAAGGATGAATTCCTGAACGATCCACATCCGTGACCAATACTCGGCTTTCGAAATGTACACCAACTGACGTATATGTCGTGTATGTATAGGTTGGGGTTCATCTCTCATGCACCGGTGGTACAAATCGATTGTGTACTGTCGGTTGAAAATGCCAGTATAAGGCAACGGCTTGTCGTAGCCAAGCCAGCTGTAAACGCACTTGGCCCCAGAATAGATTCGTTTCATCTCCTGAACTTGATGACTCCGCTCTTGAATATCGTCCTGGTTGATGCATATGGCATCCAGCCATATGACCTGCGATTGGTAGCGGCTGCGGAAGGCTTTTAAGAAGCGGAAGAGATTTTCTCGCACTTGGAAGTGTTTGCCGTTCACGAGTATGGACATTGTTGGCTCGGGCGGACCCCAGACGTACGACCCGGCGATATATTTATCTCGTTCGCGTGAAATCGAAGAAGTGAATATTTCGCATCGTATTGGAGAACCATGGCGCAGGCTAGGCAGCACGCGCAAAAGTCGGAAGCTGTCACCGTTGTGCAAAAGAGGCGAGTATCGGGTAGAGGCAGGCTTCTGGACCTGTGTTGAGTTGGCAGAGACATCGGTGCATCTGTTGTTTGTCGACATAGCGAACAACTTTGGCTGAAACATAGATTCCGCGTTTCTACTGTTAGATGCAAGACAGCAGTATCGATTGAAAGGCGTACTGAGGAGGTAAAATAGGCAATCAGAAAGGAGGCAGTGCAGCTGAGCAATCCTAGCAAGCTTGGCAGCTGACATTGCGACTAGTACTGAGGCCACAACAATCGTGCCACCCGCGAGGAGCCACATCATGCACAATGAAAACATGACGTACACCTCCATAGCGCAGAGTATGTCATGTACATCTCGGGAATACGGGCTCGTCGGTATCGCGGGTGTTGCGGCTAGTGAACCGCCTTGGAACCCAGAATACTGCGTTTGGTTATTAATCCCCAAACTCGATGAACTCGCCATTTTTCCCCTCTAGCAGCTGTCCTGCCTTCCTCTCCCATTGATCCATGAATCGTGCTGGCCACTTCCTAGCTCGCTTCCCGTGCTTCTCTACAAGACTCTCCGAAACCCACTTGGCAGTCCGCAAATATGCACGCCTGAAATCCTGCCAGAGCTTCAAGTCATCACCCGATGTAGCATTTGGATCGGGGAAGTATGGATCGTTACAGGTCACCGCTGTGACTAGTCGCTCTATGGCAGCTTCGGGCTGATCAAACGAAACGGGCGAGGCTTTGTCGAAGTCGAGGACGTAGAGACGCACACGACGGTAGCGGTGACTAAGAGAGTCTGAATCTGGAGCATGGGTTGCGAGTGTGATTTCGTGCTGCGGTAGGGAGGAACAGAAAGGTCCAGAGGTGTCGATATCGTCGACGATATCGGTGTGTGTCTCGTCCCAATCAGCTCTTCCACCGAGTACGAACTCGATATCCATTCCGTCCACGTGAGCATGCCAGTGTATGATGGCTAGTCCAGTGGCCATTTCCTCCACCATCTGCTTAAAATACCAGGAGCTGTCGAGTGGGAACGACCTGAAGTCCTCCCTTGTAAAAGGAAAGTTCCAGAGGTTGTCTGATCTGCACAAAGGCTCGTCCTCGCGAGTTGCCAGTCCAAGATATGGTCGTATAAGACAGAAATCGTTCTCTGGATTCGCAAGTACCGCGCCTCTTGAGGTAGTGAAGTCGTAACGCCAGAGCAGAGCCTGTCGAGTCTCTGAATCTATCGTGGGGATAAGGGAAAGAGCAAAGACGAACGGTGTCGTCTCTCTAGCGTGAGATTCCGGGAAAAAGCGCGCGTAGTCTGCCCAGAAGCACTCTTTAGCTTCATCTGCTACCCAGCCCTTGATGGCCGGCACCTGGAGCTTGGATGCGAACCACTCGTCCACGTCAGGGTCTGACAACGCCCGATGGACGCGGGCTGTGAGCCGTATATCATTCCACAGGCCGTCTCTATCCCGCCCAATCTTGTATGCGACTGTAGAGCGACTTGTCGACGTGTAAATGGTGCCGCATGTGCCACGACCGATGATGCGAAGGTCCGTGGGATCAGGGACTACTGAGGTATGTGGAGTCTCTGAGGCGTGTGTAGTCTCGCTCGTTGCGTGCGCTGCGTTTGTTCGAAGGCCATCTCGAGGGTTATCGCTCGCGTGTTCGTTCTCTACTTGCGCCATGGTGGCAGCTCTGTGAAGGAAGTAAGAGCACTAGATTGATATTAGAGTATCGACAAGGTCTGTGTTATATTTCTCAACAGATGCAATACTGTCATTGACTATCAGCCAGGTGTGGTTGACTCAGAGAGCGAGCCATGGTTCGTTCCTCTATTCCAGACGTGCCTATTGGAGCGCGCGCAGACGTTCGCATCTGTCGTGCTAGAGTGGGTGTACGGGATCGTCAGATTGCGATAGCTTGCGTGTATGGAGCCCGGATCTGTCGGAGGTTGCCATGCGTTCATGGTGGTCATGTTAGGCTCGCATGTGCGTGGATCAGTCCGCGTTCTGGCGCCGTGCCCGGGCTACACTGAAAACGCCGGGCACGTGACTACGCGATGACGATGACGCCATTTCAGAACCTGCCACTTTCTAAGCGCGGCGAATGTCTGCCATGGTGCAGGTTTACATCGCTGTTCTACACGCGTTGGTTATCCCTCGATTAGGATCAACAGACATTTTTGTACAAGATGTACATTACAGCACCTTGCATTGCGCTCGGTGCATCGAAGAACATCGAGGCTCGTACATCGTGAGCGTACAGTTTTTACATACATCATCCGCATGTCTCATGCGTGCTTCTGCTTCAGCGCCCACAGGCCACGTAGCATGTTTTTATTCCTCCACAAAGAACCTGGCTGCAAAGACGACATCGTTCTCGCTGAACACTCCCTGCCTCTCACTCTTCACCTGCCTTAGAATGCCCTGTTTGTTCTTCTTGTCCTTGCTCTCTGCGTACGCGATGACACAATCTCGGTTCAGCGGTGGGTTGTTGTTCGTCTTCAGACGTGTGGGACTGCGAGGCTCCTTTGGTAAGGTGCGGTGGAGGTACTTACGTTTCTTCGTAGCCGAGGATTGAGGTGTAGAGGGTTCGTGGCGCGCAAGTTGAGGTGTCGTGAGAGTTGAAGTGAGCTTCACTGGGGACGGGGTTTCGTTGCCGCGACGTGATCCGCGCGAGGTTTTGCGTTCCGGTGAGCCATCTGCTTGCGGGATAGGAGCAGGAGACGAACCAGTATGTACTTGAGGTGACCGGGCATATGAAATGGGCTCCATATCAGGCTCAGGAGTTGTATGTAGGCTGGATAGAGGGGACGACGTAGCAGTGTCCCAGATCTTAGAGTTCTGGACGACCGGTATCGCGATCTTGGACGATGGAGCTGCGTCAGGCGTGTTTCTCGGTTTGGCGAAAGAGCGGGATCGACGTAGTCGCGCAGATGCTTCACGAAGTATCTCTTCTGGATCCTCGAACCAGAATGGATTTGCCTTTGGGCCTTGTACACCAAGAATGTTGTTGCTAGAAGTTGTACGACGCGAGAGTCTTGATTCGGTTGTATGTATACTCTGGTTGCTTGAGTCAGCATCCAGCTGGTCACCACGCAGCTTGACCTCCTCTACTTCAGGTCGTTCACCCGTTAGGATGGAGTTCTTGACAGTAGATGCGGGCTGTTTAAACGCAACATTCGGTTGGAAAGCGCTGGTCTCTTGTGGGTTGTCGATAGCGAGGGGCAGGTCAGTCTTCGCGTGCTCTAATGGCGATGTAGGCGGCGGCGTTCCCATCCGGACCGTACTTTTTCTTGACCCGCGAAATTCGGTGCTTGCCTTCTCTGAATCAATAGATCTCTTCTGTTCATCATCTCCTGGGACGATATCCTGTCGAGTCGGATTCTGGACGGGGCGATTGGAAGCCAAGTCTAAACGCAGTTCAGGCTCCCACCTATGATCCACTATAATTGATCTATCTTGCCCATAGACTACCAAGCGTCTGACCACGATGTTGGAATTTGTCTTCATCGACTGTTTTGAAGGAGATGCTTTCTTCGGAGAGACACTTCGTTTTGGCTTTGTAGGTACTGAGTACAAACCTGCTGGCGGTAACGGCAGGGACAGTCTGCGATCAAACGGCGGAAATGACAGGTGTGGTGGCCGAGATTCCTGATATCCATGGAGGTTTGCGACTTGTGGTAACATGTTTGGCTTGTAGCTCTCGGGAGCTCCGCAGAAGTTGGACCCCATACCGGACATGGTGTAGTCTCGACGCGTGTATTGGCTTTCGGGTAAGCCACCACGTGGTTCTCCAGGCAGAGAACCCGCATGCGGCCTATGACTTGAGGGTGCTTGCCTGAGCCCTGGTAAATGTGTAGGAAAAGGTGATGCGTACTGGTAACCTGGGCCCTGAAAAGCCGTGGGAAAGCGATCGAGCGGACTAGACGTCAGGCCGGCGTTGTCGCCCGGTATCTGACGCATGAGATCACTGGGTGCGACTCCTCCCAGTGTTGGATCCGAGAATTGGAAGGTATATGGTGATGAGAGCATGTGAGTCGTTTGCGAGTTTGGGGTCAGATCTGGATTCATCATCTTCGGAGTGAACCCTGCACGCGACGTGGGCTCCGCTTCTGAGATGCGTACTGCGTCGTGCGTAGGCGCTCGTCCAGTCTCCGGTGCACGCGGTATGTTGGAGGTATCTGCACTTCTTCGAACTGGTGAAGACGTAATTCTTGCATCTGCAATGTTTGGTGCTATCAGTGCTGGAATGCTTGATCCGACACCGGCGAGTGGTGGACTTGACAGCGTCAAGGGTTCCATGGTTAGAGCTGATGGCAAGACAGGTGACATATCCTGCTTCGACTGCACTCCAGACCGGAGAGCCTGTCTCTTTGTATGAGACCCATACTCTGGATCGCTGTCTCCTTCTGCATCTACGTCGATGACCTCTGAGGTCGGCTCCATGGTATCTTGAGGTTCCGCGTCACTCTCACTCTTACCAGGCGCATCGACACGTAGATGCATAGTACTGCCGTCGGCTCCGAGCACGAACGGGTAACTCTCGTCGATCATGCGCTTCGGTGCCTTCAAGTAGCCCACGCCGCTAGTGAGCTTCCTACCCTCTCCAGATGTGATGACTACGTCGATGACACCGAAAGTCTTTCCACCTGGCCTCTGCATAGTGTGTACTTGCTCCGGCATCTGCGTTGTCGCAAGCGCGTGGAGGAACTCGGCAGTAGGAGGAATGTTGCCTTGTTCGTCGGTACCCCGCTCGCGTGCTTCAGCTTGGAGCGCCTGACCAATGTGTTGCCATCGCTGTTCTACCGAAGGTGGTGTGTTGTTCTTCGCAGTACTGCCATCTGCGGCGACTCCGGGTGGTAGGATGATCCATGGCCGCTCAGCGAGAAAGTCGACTCTAGTGCCCGCGAAGACCTGGTGATGGTCTTTCGAGCCAGATTTGCCGTCGTAGTTGGGCATGGCCAAACACGCGGCGAGTGTTCCATTGAAGAAGACTTCGATCTTGAGCGATGTTCTCTGGTTGTAGAGGCCGGAGACATAGGTCTGATCGGACAGGTTGACGTGGAGGGTAAGTGCTTTCAGTGTGCACTGCGAGACATCTGAGAAGCTATCGTTAGCCGTGGTGGTGCTGTTAGTATTAGGCAGAAGGTACGCACCCTTCGGCGCACCCTGTGCGTCCCCAGGAGCTTCCTCTTCGTATATGTCACTCCCGACCCGGGTCTGCATGAAAGGCGCTTTTGCGAGCCAGTTGAGCTGGAAGGCGGCGTCATCACCGGGGAAAGGCACCTGCTCTTCCTTCAATAGCTTGCTCCCCAACAGCCTCTTTTCAGCTAATGCAGACTGCTGCTTGGCTGCGTCCCCCTTTCTCAGTATGATCTTTGCTGTAGTCGTATCACCGAGCGAAATCGCGCCCAGGCGCACCGAGACGCCACGCGCGAAGTAGGTAGGCATATTTGCAGGTGAAAGAATATACACGTATTATGACATGGCCGTCGCAAGAGGCAATGCCGCACTGCCCGGCGATTGGGTATTATCGAGTCGGTTGGGTGCGGTAAGGCCGTCTAGAGCGTGTCGAGCATGGTGGGGTGTATGGGGTACGCGTTGCGGTGACCGAGCGCTGCTGAAATCGCGTGACGTATATCGTGGGCTTCCGTTTCCGGCAGGTACCTCCAGTGCTCTTTCCGCGCACTCGTCCTCACCGCCGTGGCCAGACTTACGTCTATGCACATTCTACCTGACGTATGGCAATCTTAAATGTACCCAGGTGTCATGATAGTGGATTTGACCATGAGAATACACACGCGGTGAATAGAAGTTATAAAGAAGCAAATCGAGCAGTTTTGAGAAAACCCGACGCGCCAGCAGACCATGTAGAGAGAAGACTGAGAGTAATCATCCCAATCGCAATGAGTCTATCCGCACAAGGAGATACTTACACAGAACGCTTAGATTGCGTAAAATTTCCCCTCAAAAGGGTACGCAGCTGACGGCAGCCGATACCGTGCATTAGAGCTCGACTTCACCCCCGGACTCAACGAAGCCTCCGCCGCTTCTTTGCTGCTCGGTGCCACTGACGCCCCAATCGTCGGTAATGATGCCAATCGGTGGACCGCCTAGGACATCGCCTAACTCGCCTATAGTCTTTTCGTACACACTCGCAACACCGCGCTCTTCCCAGTCCTCATCTTCCTCATCGTCGTCATTATCCTCGAAGCCTTCAAAAGTCACAGTGCCTTGACGTCCCCCTGCCTCTGCCTCTGCCTCTCCTTCTGTATCCGTGTCCATAGCCTCACCTACATCGCCCTCGTCACCGACCACGCTGTCTCCGCTCATTACACGGGTGACCGTGAGCCTGGTCCGGTCTACAACGCCCTTCAAGCGAACCTTGTCCGTTGTGGTGACTGTACGACCGTTCTCAAACCCAGGTAAGAACTCTCCGGTCGCAGTATCGTGCCCGGTAAGCAGGGAGGAGAAGGCGTAGTCGAGTTTCGAGAGAAGACGGAAAGTAGCCTGAGCGGAACGCGTTGAGGAATCGAATAGTGGGAGGAAGTCGGCGGTGAGGACGGCGAGGTTGAGCAGATAGGGTATCTGGAGGTTCGGTGATCCAGATACCCAGACAACATCTACCAGGCCATCGAGGTCTTTTGCGACTTCCCAGAACGCCTTGTATCCTTCCTCCTCGC